CCCGACCTTCACGCCTGGTATATTTGGAGTGTGTGTGGTGTCTCTCTCCCCGTGGTGGTGTGGATTTTTCTCCGGGTCCTCCAGTTTTCCCCTCCACATTTAGAATCCTTACACGTTTAGAGTCTGCTATAAATTTCCACATGATAAGCCACCTCGTTGAGTTATCACTTGTGACCGGGTTGCTTCTGAAAAAGAGTTATATAGTTTACCTGGTACTGTAGAATAAAACATAAATGAAGTTTTAGTTGAGCTTACATAGATTGGATGCAACTCAAAGAAAATAGCAAAAGCCGTGTGGATAGATTTAATAAACGAACTCATTACGGTTATTTGCAAAACAGTTTGATTTCACGTGTTTCCTTTAAAATGAAGTTTTGTGTAATTGTTTTATGGCTTTCTGCAAAACGTTTCTTTTAAAAGGGGGCTTTGCTCTGTGGAAGACACCACAAAATTGCATGCGTCTCCTTTTGTGCCACGTAATTGTGAAACTTAAGACAATCAAGGGCTATAATTTACAATTAACTTTCCCACTCAAGTGATTTTTATTTTAAGACTGCTTATTAGAATTTCTAGAAATTGAAAATTAACTTTTTGCCGCACTCATTCTGTCCTTGATTAGGGCAGACGAGCGTTACCACACCAGAGAATTGGCTGAATGTCGCTTGTGCTGGCAGGTGTGGATTAAAATCTCCATGCCTATTCCCCTGGCTCAAGCTGTGGTCCATAATCGACATCGAATTGAATAAGTTGAAGTAAACACTGCAGATGAATTTGGATAATCGTGAGACATTATCAGTCCGCTGCTGGATGTATGTATGTTGAACTTCTTTCACACCGTACGTAGCCAGCTGTGCTAATCGGAGGGAAGGGCAACAAACTAAACACCAAAAGCAGTTCTAAAGAAATTAGTTTTCAATCTATATTTTAAAATCTCCATGCCTCTTCCCCTGGCTCAAGCTGTGGTCCATAATCGACATCGAATTGAATAAGTTGAAGTAAACACTGCAGATGAATTTGAATAATCGTGAGACATTATCAGTCCGCTGCTGGATGTATGTATGTTGAACTTCTTTCACACCGTACGTAGCCAACTGTGCTAATCGGAGGGAAGGGCAACAAACTAAACACCAAAAGCAGTTCTAAAGAAATTAGTTTTCAATCTATATTTAAAATTACGTAGCTCCAGTGGCATTCTAATATCGGAAGGAAGAGTGTTTCAGACGGCTGCATAAGTGCATCTGAAAGCGCACGATGCAGTAACCGTCTTTGTTCGATGGCTAGCCAAAAGCCGCTGCTTGCGAGGATGGCTGGAGTTCGTGTGATGGTTTATGCTCCTTGACGAGATCGGCAAGGTATTGTGGTTCATTTGGGAAAAGCACTTTGTGTGTAAGGAGTCCTCCCTGAGGCTGCCACCATTTGCCACGGTCCCACGTGGGACGCACGCTGTGTTATTGACGGTTAATCGGGCCTTGCGTTCACTTGTGCAAACGTCACTCGGTGGGGAGAAATCTTGCGGCCTGGGTTTTTCTGAAATCCTCATGTGAGGTGTGGTGAGGACAACCGATCGATTGATTCTATTGGCCCATGAAATTTACTTTGTAAATATTAATATCGGAAAGCGACCTTTTTTGACACTCTCTCGGCAGGAGTGTTTGCTTCACAGTTCATCGCCGTTTTATTTGCCTACCGTCCGGATTAAAGGACGCACCGCAAAGTAAGACGCACCCCACAACCCTCGGGTTCTTTTGAAAGCACTAACAACGTTTGAAACGCGCAAATACGGCGCGGGTAAATTTGCGGTAACATCACTCGCACCGAGTGGAATACAGTTGCCAGGACAAAATATAGCAGCAACGTTATATTGTCTCGCGAATGATGCACAACGCCGCTCGTCTAAACACTGTTACACTCCCGGTCAAAGCAGGTATAAGCCGAACTCCGTTCTGTCACCACGTGTAAATCAATTAATTAAATTGTAATGAGTTCGTGTCACGTACTAGCGAAACAGTTTTCTCTCCAGCCACCTGATAAAATCCGTTGGGCGGAATGAGCGGTGGCGCGTAGGCCGGGTGACGCGTGGTCTGGCTCGCACGGAGACCGAGTGGCGTGCGGAACTGAGTGGCATATACGTTGAGCGCGGTTGTAACCTTTGTGTCCAGGTTGCAGGCCACACAGCAGATTATGAGCCGCAACACCCAACTTTTGCTTTAAAATTATTGAAAAAAAAACTGCATCTTGTAATACGTTTCTAAATGACACCTTTTGAAAATATACTTTTGCGAAACAAGAGCTACACACGAGAGCTCGTCATGGTGCCATGGTGGTGAGATGTCAGATACCTCGCCTGGTATACAGGAGGTCGTGGGTTCCATCCTGACCCTGACGCCTTTATGTATTTGGAGTTTACCTGTTCTCCCTGTGGTCGCACGGATGTTTCTCCGGGTCCTCCCGTTCTTCCCTCCAAAGTATTTGTTCGCGGTAAATTACCCCACGATGAGCCACTTTGTTGAACTCTCATTTGTGGCCAGGTCGCTTCTTGTAGAAGAGCCACACAATTAAGTCGGCCTTACATGGTAAAATTAAAAGAACAGTTTGCTGGACGTCGCCGGGTTGTGTGTCCGGGGCTCTTTAAAACACGAGGCGGCGTCGGGAAGGAGTTGCGCGGCAAATCGTCAGCGCGCGTCGTTTCGAGAGGCTCGGCAAACGGTAAGTTTGCCGCGCCGGTACCGTGCGAGCACACCTCGTAGGTGACCCATGGGGTGAGGGGTCAGCAACCACGACGGAGGTTGTCTCACGGTTCGCCTTTCAAGTGGCTTGGGGTTTGGCGAATATTCAAAATTAAGTGTGGGGAGGCTGCCACCGTGCCCAGAAGAGGGCTTAAGAACCACGGTCGTGTGTTCAAAGCCTCGCGCGAGATGTTTGGAGAGGGGCCAGAGGGGGGGGGGGACGCTGGGGTGGGGTGGCTGTGTCGGTCTGTTAACCCTACTCCCATTCCGATGACGTTTGTGTATGTCATCAGTTTTTCTTTATCGGTACCGAGGCTCCCAGAAGGCCATGCGGGGAGGGCGTGTGTCACAGTTTTGACGCCAGCTATTGTAGAGTGCGGTCGTATCACTGCAGTTCTCTGCGGTGAGCGCAGTGTCTTTAAAAACAGCGGCGCTACGCCTCTCCGAATAAAATGAACGCCGAACCGTTTGCGCGTTCCGAGATTCAGAGGTGAAGGGGACTCCCACCCTGCCACTTGTAGATGTCTCTTAACGGGAAAGGGTTAAGCTGTTCCGTCCTGTAAATTATACTCGAAGCCCCTGGGCAAGCTCTGGGCCTACGGGTGCGAAGTTGATTGCGATGTATATTTGGAATACTTTATAAGAGTGGAATGCCCTGTATGAATCTATAACGTGCAGCTCGGAGGCAATGAATTTGTCTTAAAAAAAAACAGTTCGGGTGATTCAACGAGAATTGTTTTGCAGATTTAATGTCTCAGGTTTAAAAATAAAACCGTGATGAATCGGGCGTGTGGTGCGAGGGGAGAGTATGTTCTGGGATAATAAAGTACCGTAGTAAGAAAACGCCCAACATCAGCAGTTCGTATTTGAAGCGCGCGCGTTCACACACACACGGTAGTCGCCATACGTTCTGCTGTGCTTTGCCATATTGACTCTACGGTTACCCTTATTTCATACACTTACCCAGAGGAGCTGGGCCATTTGATTCTTTAACTCGTCGATTATTCTTTTGATAATCAGACTCAATACTCTACTTATTAGGGAACACAAGAATGGTTGAAGAAAAAAAAGTCTCTCCTCGTTTCCTACCAGTGTGTGTTGCTGGACGGGAGGTGATGGGTGGGGCTTGATCGACCTCATCGGCATCATCAAATGCGTCACCATTGGACGTGGCTTGTAGGGGGTTTCCTGCCTTCAGGAGGCAGGTCGGTTGGGGGTAGCCTCCATTTTATATTGGCCCGAAAAGCGACCACAAAATAAGTAGTTGATTACGATTGTTTGTCAATGAATCGACTTGGTTGACCAATAGCCTGAGCTCTGATGTGTGTGTGTGTGTTGTGGGGTGTGTAGGGTCGGTTAGAAACATTTAGGCTAGCCTGCCTACGATCCATCCTGGGTTTAACCAGGCTGGATTGTGTGAGGAGCTCACAAATCCTTGAAAGATCTGGGCAAGGTCCCATCGGTGAGCTCCTCCGGCAGGCAAGGCTGCGTTGGCTGGGTCATGTAGCCCGCATGCCCAGCCACCGCATGCCGAAACAGCTTTTGTTCGGCCGGATCGAGGGGGCTAAACGGGCGCGGCACGGGCTAGAGAAAAAATGGAGTGATGTGGTACAGGAGGACGTGGAGCTGAGTGGACTTGCCGATGACTGGTACCAGTGGTGTCAAGATCGGCCTCTGTGGAGGAGGCTTGTGAAGGATGCTACTGGGCAGTTGGAGGCAGTCGCCCTCCAGCAACAACGGAGGGCGGAGGAGCGACGCTCACAACAACGAGCGGAGCGCCGGGTGGCTAAAGCACAGCAGGTTGGCACAGTAGGGGGCACAGGTGGTGCATCAGCCAGTCATCTTTGTCAATCGACCCGTGGCACTTGGTTCTGCCCCGTGACCTCCTGCCAGCGGGTGTTCAACACTTCACGTGGCCTCAAGGAGCACATGGCCTGGCACAAGCGTCGTGGTGACGTCACCGACACTTAGTGGCGGATGGCGGTTGTTGTTGCTGTAGGGCTGCCACCTTTTCCGCTGTAAACCAAATCCGGACATATTTTTCAGTCGCACCAGGTCTATTGTCAAAACTGTGCGATCCACTATCGTAAAGTTCAGCACAATTCCGGTACCAGATCTCGGTACCAATAAATTCCTGCCGCCCGAACACAGATGCCGATTCCTAGACTGTACCGGGTCAAACCCGGGACAGGTGGCAATCCTTGCACGTGCGCAGTGTGTGTTGCATGATGCATGCTGTGTGTGTGTTGTGTATGCGTGTGTGCCCGCGTCCAGCCGGTCAACGTTCTGGCCAACCTCGCCAGCTCCACCGAATGCCGCCTAGGTCCTCCGCACCGCCAGGGAGTTGTGGGAGCCGCGATGCATCATGGGAATGCGAAGATGAGTCCAGCGCAAGCGGCGATGGCAGGTGTGGTCTCAAATGGCAGGTGTGGGCGGCACAGTGGCAAGATGTTAACTACCTCGCCTGGTATACACGAGGTCTTGGGTTCGATCCCGACCCTGACTCCTGTACATTTAGAATTTGCACGTTCTCCCCATGGTCGTGTGGAATTTTCTCCGGGTCTTCCGGTTTTTCGCGCCACATTTAGAATCAACGTCACGCGTTTAGAGTATTTGGCTGCTGTACATTTCCACGTGATCAGCCACTTCATTGAGCTATCGTTTGTGATAGTCAGGTTGCTTATGAAAAAGAGCCATCTACCTCAATGGGCCTTGCCTACGAATATAAAAAAATGTTCATAGTTTAGTTTTAGTTTCTCATAAAAGTCCTTTTCCACTGGCACAACCGAGCCGGTCCATGGGCCCTGAAGCCATACAGGTGGGTTTCCACCGCGGCTATTTTGCCGTGCCACGCCAGAAGCAAACCATTAAACTCTGGCCTCCCAAGACATCTGAATCTGACTTTCGTGGCCAAGCAAGGCCAGGGGCGGGCTTTACCATTTTCGTCACATGCTGTTGTGTCCGTGAGTACAACTTGAGCGCGCGTCACACGCGTTCCTCTTTATTTCTCAGTTTCAATCTTTTTTTTCCACGAATGTCCCTCGTTTTAATGTTATATGTTTCAGTTGCATCGACCCAGTTCTATTTTTTCGGGCTGTGTTGTCGTCCTACTTCTATTCGTAATGACCGTGACGGAAAGTAAAAGCGGGCTTGGGCAGGACGCAGCGAGATTAGGTGTGATGGCCGCTGAAGAAGACCGGTGATGGGATAGGCGGCCGAAAGGCGCGAACGTTCCCAAGAGTGTGGCCATCGCAGATATGAAGCGGTGAGATCGGTCCACGCGCGGGGGAGCGAGGTCGATGATGGGCACTGTCGAATCGTTGGGGATAGCAGCTTTACGCGGGATGCCTTCGTCCAGAAGTACGGTTGATAATGAATATGAAGTTGGTTGTCAAGGTGAAGCTCATAAACAGTGTGCGGTTTTGCCCAGTGCCTTCATTTCGTCCGAAACAGTCCGGAACGCTGTTCCGGGAATTATTTCAGCGCCCAGCCAGATCCATCACGCACTAAATTGTCCCCGTGACTGTAATATAGGGTACAACAGCAAAAAACAGTGACTACAGATAGACGGGCCTTGTTACTCTGCAGTGGTAGTACCGAACACCGATAATCCCCACTCCAGGCCAACACTAGCGGCACTCCGGGAAATCTCAGGCGAGACGTGGAGCCGTGGTTATACGGGGGGTAATCGAGGAGGTGCACTTTTTGCACAGACGGTGGACGCTGCGAGCAAAGTAATTAAGAAGGGAATGTTTAGATCATGATAATAAGCAGTGCATGGCTAATGGCTGCGCGACACAATGTGGCAGCTAAATGGTCACAGCATGGGTGGTGGGTGGGTGGGGTGGGGGGGTGTCCTTTGGCCAAACCTCGTGTACCCCCCCCCGGAAGAACGAGCGTCAGGAAAGCTACGCTTGTGTTTTTTGCGGGGTTCGTCGTTTTGGTTTTCGCCAGCGATTGACTCGGCTGAACTGAGCTATGAAGCGAACTATTTTTTTTTATTTTCGCCAGGTAAGACGCCACGGAGCTCGAGAGCTCTTTTTTTTTCAGAGGCGACCTGGCTACCTCAAACGGTAGCTCGGCGAAGTGGCTCGTCGCGTGGGGAATGTATTGCAGTGGAATACTCTTAAACGCGCGACGTTGATTCTAAAATGTGGAGGGAAAAAAACCCGAGGAGCCAGAGTAAAAATCCACGCGAGCACAGGGAGAACACGCAAACGCCAAATATACGGCAGGCAACAGGGTTGGGATCGAACCCACGCCCTCCTGTATACCAGGTGAGGGAGATAACATCTCGCCGTCATGGCTGTTTCCGTCATCAAGCGTAGACGGATAGGGATCTGTGCGACGTGTGTATATCGTGATGTTACAACCCTTTTGCATAAATCGCCTGAAATATGTTGTGCTTTTCTTTATCCCTGCCTGGTGGCTCGCAATCAGAAGGTCGCAAGTTTACATCCGAGTTGGGGGTGGGGGGGGGGCAACTCGCCAATCCCCGCCCCCCCCCTCCCCCCGCCCGATAGGGGGTTTACAACAGTGGTTTGTCTACGGATAGACCAGGGGTCGGTAACCTTGTGGCTCCGGAGCCGCCCCGGGCTCATTCAGGGCTGTTTCGTGACGTCATCTGCTAAGGACCGGCGGAGTGAGCGAGTGACGGCCGGCGCGTTGTGCCATGTGCGCAGGAGGAGACGGGGGCTTCGCATCCTCGCTGGTGCTCACCCTGCAGAGCCCCGCCACCCCGGCCGGCGGAGGAGCGAATCGACGGCAACACTCCACGGTGAGACGTTCGTGCTTTTCCGGAACACCTGCGCCTCACCTACTCGGTTGCTTTTCTGCGTGGAGTTTGTATGTTCACACCTCTTTGTTCTGTGTGGGTTTCCTCTGGTTTCCTGCCATAGGTAAGACAACTCTTGCAGGCTTAGTTGGCATCGGCTAAAACATCCCGATGCAGAAGATTACTCAATTGGGATTGCGCATGGTAACATCGCCATCTGTTTCTATGGATGGTTGAACTTCTTTCGCGCTGTACGGAGCCAACTGTGCCAATCTGAGATGCGGGGGAAGGGGAACACACTAAACGCAAAAAGCAGTTCGAAAGAAATTCGTTTTTAATATAGATTTAAAAGTGGCTTCCTCAGATGGCTTCCTCAGATATCAGAAGGGAAGAGCGTTCCAGACGGCCGCAGAAGCGCACCTGAAAGCGTGCGATGCAGCGAGACAGTCTTTGTTCGATGGCTCGCCAAAAGCCACCGCTGAGAGGATGACCGGAGGTTCGCGTGATGGTTGAATGCCCTGTGTCGAGATAAGCGAGGTGCCGTGGTTCATTTGTGGCAAGCACTTTTTTGGCGTAATGAGCGCGACCTCAGAACGTTTTCGTTCGGCAACCAGAAGTCAATGCAGCTCGGCGAGCACTGAACCAGACACGGTCGGATCCTGCATTGCCCCGTCACGACACGTGCCAGGGGACTTGGTACGCAGCTGCAGCTTGGTGGCGTTTTTAGCATTCCCAAGCAACCGCTAAAGCCGGAAAAGGTTCCCCGAGACTCGGCCACCGTGCCGAACAGCGCGGCGATACAACCCAGAAGCACGCCGAGAAAGCTGTACACAGCACAAAATGCCGTGGGCGGTACAAAACAAATCCATCGTCTCTTGCTGTATCCTGCTTGCCCGGTTTATGCTCCCCCTGTCTTCGTTGAACCCACTTGACGTGGAGAGACCCTCGCCTAGCAGTGGATTGGCAGTCACGGCTGCACGCGTACAAAGATTCACACGCGCGCACACCGATGCGGCTGCCCTGAATACAGACGCAAGGAAGTGTCTCCTTGGGATACAGACAAAACTCCACCAAAGCTCCGGGAGAGGGCCCGAGAACCGGGCATGACCACAACCCAAACCTTCTTCCACAACCTCTGATGGGCACGGTTGGCTACGTACGGTGCGCAACAATTTCAACGTACATTGCCTCGACTTGTTCGAGGCGCGCTGCATCCGTTGGTGCCCCCGATATAAATTTTTCAGCTCCGTCACGCTCGGTTTGTGTAATGGCCGTTTTGTCAATCCACTGCGGGGATGAAGGCCCTCCCCAGGAGGGGTGAGGGCCTCCTGGGGAGGGCTTGTTTGGCCATGCTTCACAATTCTGGCGATCACGGGTTTGTGAAGCGGCTGGGGATGCCCGGCGCGATGCGCTGACAACTGCGTCACCACTCCGCCACCTTTAGTCAATCATCATTAACGTCAACCGTTGTTTATCCATTGCTGCAGCAGTTAAGAGTTCATGCATTTCTTGAATTGAGCGAGGTTATTAGAAGGACTTTGAAAAGGAGACAATGGGAATAAACTCCAAAGCGTGGTGGTGCTAAGGAAATGCAGAAAGAAAAGCGTTGTGACCTGCGGTGCAGTGGTGGTGGTGGTTGAACGCGGTGTGCAGGACGAGACTAAACAGTCGGTGTCTGGTAGGCCGTGTCCTCAAAGTGCGTGGAGGAGTCAACGAAACAAATTGATGGGGAGTAACCATGGCGATCCGAGGGGGTGGTACTTGTCTGGGTGGTGTCTTTAGACACGCCTACCACCAAGTAATGTCCACGTGGAGAGATGCTCTGAACAGAAAAATCGGATCAAGACGATATCGTCGCCAAAGCCGTTGAAGCCACCAACGCCACCACCACCACCACCAACCGCACCTCCATTGCCAACGCATTCTCTCCTCCACCCCGCGGCTGTACAACAGTGGTGCAGCGACCTCCAAGATCTTCCCCCCCCAACGCTATCCCACAATCTGGCCTTGTTAGGCTTTTGGGACATGTGGAGACCTCTCCGATGCACGTATAACAATAACAATTAATTGGTGGGGTCGGCGGGGGTGGGCATTACCCACTTTGTTTTTCAGGGGGGCTCCCGTTCCTGCTTCCAGCCGCTGTCGCTGGGCCCCCAGTGCGGCATGACGGGCGATCGCACGCGGTCCCCGCAGGAGAGGCTCGAGGCGTTCAACCACCTCGGCCACCTCCCCTCGCCCACGGCTCACCAGGTTGGCGCGGCAACACCGCGGCAACACCGCGGCAACACCGCGGCAACACCGCGGCAACACGCTCGCAGCGCTCCTCACGTGTTCGCGCGTCGTCCGCGTTGCCGCGCTCTCTCGTAAATTTGCCTCGCTCGACGCAAAGGGAAACGCTTTACGCGCTTATCGATCGTTGTTACAGCTTTGATCGTGCGGTTTGCTGTTAGGCACTTGGAGTTTTTCGTACCTCCGGGGCCCTGCACCCATCAACTGCGTAAAGTGTATATATATAGGCAGAGTAATGGGGATGCTTTTTGTGTTTAGTTTGTTGTCCTTCCCCCCGCACATCCACTTAGCACGGTTGGCTACGTACGGTGCGAAAGAAGTTCAACACACGCACATCAAAACGCGGTACATCAATGCAGTTTGCAGGGTGGGTGGGGGGTGGAGGCGAAGGTTCACGGGAAAGGACGGACGATGCTGTCGGCGAGGCGAGAGTGGTTCTTTCGGTAAAGTCACGTAGAAGGGAAACAATAAAATAACAAAAATATAAAACAATAAAATTGTCACGACGTTTCGACTGCAACACAAGCAATCATCATCAGGTGTGATTGCTTGTGTTGCAGTCGAAACGTCGTGAGAATTTTATTGTGAAATATTTTTATTATTTTATTGTTTCCCTTCTACGTGACTTTACCGAAAGAACCAAGAATATGAATCCCTGCAGTCACGAAAGCTTTAAATCAAAATATAAACACGTTCTACTTAATTAAATAGACTTTTTAATAATAAATGTTTTCTCCTACAACATCAGAGTGCAGCGCCACATTAAATACGCACTACAATGATAGTAGTTTAAAGCCATTTGAAGCATGTTTTTTATTTTTTTGGGGAGGGGGGGTGCAGAGCTTTGTGACGTCATATTTGAGGGGGGGTCCAAAATCGCGTGACGTCATTTATGGACGGCCCCTGTACGTGTACACATATGGGTGAAGGATAAAGACGCAAGAAGGCGTTTCAGTTTCCCCGCGTAAGTAAACATAAATACGTTGGGTTCCATCAGACTGTTGGTGTTTCCAGACAAATATTATCAAGCAGCATTTGTTCAAGTGAGCAAACTCTGGATATGGTTTCGACTTTTTTTGCGTCTCATCAGCAGTGTCAGGCTCGGTTAACAAATACTGCTGAATGTCATTCTAGTCTTCATGGCCCAGTTGCATCTTGGCTGCGCTCTGGGCACCGTGTAACGAGACGAAGAATCCGTTCGGAACTCTCGCGCAGAGTAGTGGGGCGACAAAATAGTCACCACTTTCTGGGGAGGTAAACTCCGGTTGTCCTATTGGAAAGACTCGCCCCCGCCACAGGAATGTGGATTCCCCCACCGCTGCTCCGGGGCTGTAAACAGGAGATGAGTTTGTTTTGAAGTTACTCATCCACACATCTGCTGTGTGCCACATTCGTCCTGCGTGCGGCGCGCGTTAACCAACGCGCGCCGCATCGTCCGCTTCACCGCGTGTGCCGCGACGTCGTTCCGTACGAGGGTAGAAGCCGCGTGCCGGCGTCGCGGTCCGAGTTTTGCCGAATATGGGAGAGAGAAAAAAAAAAAAGTTGCCTCCGTTTAGAAAAGGCGCGCGCCGACCGCCGTCCCCTGCGGCGACACGCTTTCGCAAGGCCCTCCCGAAAAACGAGCCCGGAGATTCGGCGATGCTTTCCTTGGGTTAAAAAACAAAAATCAATAACGCTGTCCTCGTAACAACAACAACAACAACAATAATAATTATTATTTTTTTAAAAGAGCAGCGGGGCACGCTCGTCGCGTGCTGCTGATTGGTGCCCCTGCGGTGTCGCGCTTTTAATACCGGCTCCTGCGATCCACTGCCCCCCCACCTCCTCCGCCACGCGTTCGGAACGACGAAGCGACTCTGCCGGCGATAATTAGCCCAGCCCAACTTGGCGGTGGCTGGATTTGTTGTTTCTGATTGAGCCCGTGTCAATCTTCCATTAATTAAACTAAACAATCAAAATCCCGCTGTTAGAGGCCACTTACCCCTGCCGGCGTCCCGTCGACGCCTTTGTTTTTTGGCGTCCTCGGTCGTCGTCAATTTTCATAACCGCGTCCCCCCCCCCCCCCAGCCTTATTGCCCTAATAAACCCTCGCCGATATTAATTTACCGAACTCGCAAAGCGCGAAGAATATATTCTCGCACGTTTTTATTGCCGAAACTGGGGAGGTCACTGTGGGTGCAGGACCTTTAATTACGCGAGATTTTAGCCCCAAATCCCCGAGATTTCCCGATCGCGGCTTTTCATTAGTGTTAGAATGGCAGGCGTTCGGTCTCCAGGCAACCGCTGGCACGGGTGCCCTGTCCCTCCGTGATGAACGTTTTAATGCCCAGACTCTGACTCTGCGAGGAAATGATCGCGCTTGAGCACTGGATCTTTCCGGTGTCGTGTTGACCGTTGTATCGAACGAGTGCTTCTTTGAGCTATGCGGACTTATTAGTGTTGCTCCGTATCTGTGTGCGTATTGCTCCGTGTGTACGTACATACGTACGCGAATGTGCATGTGTGTTTTAAGAGCGGTGGAGCAATGGTTTGCGGCACTGCACACAAAAAGCCGGCGACCCGAGTTTGATTCCCGCTCGCGACTTATAACAGCGGCGAATATTCGAACCAGCCCCGGTGCGGTGTATAAACGTGAGCACTGGGGATAGTCCGGCCGTCTGGCCTCCCACCCCTCGTGTGTGCCATGCCGACCTTCATCCGCGCTCGCTCACAGCACTTGCCCCAACTGTCTGCCGTTTGTGGACTGCCATAAAGAGCGCAGCGTTCCAGTTTTAATCCCTGGCACAAAAATCAGTGGCAGCTGCTATCCGGACGTGGTTGTGGGCAATCTATAGGTTGACTTGGCCTAAAATGAGTACCTGTTGCGGCGATGATGTCAACGTGGAGCGCTGTGCCAAGCTTAGCGCCACACTACGCCCTTATCAACGGCCGGTTGCGTCGAGAGCGAGAGAGTGAAAGAAGAGCCCGCGAGAGAATAATGCGTTTTAATGAGCTTGCCAAGTAGGAGTCGGTAAGCAATTACGATGATTACTTTATGCTTTCCGTACAAGAAGAGGAAGGGTGGGGGGGGGATTTCGTCACGTTAATTGCAACGCTCAGGAACAGAAATTCTCCTTCGCAAGTGGCTGGAGAGTAGTAATCCGCGTGGTTAAGTGAAGCCGGGAGAGGCCGTTGCGCGTGGCACGGAGGAACTGGGAAAACGGAGTCTTGGAGATCCAAGTTCGCCGCTCTTGACGGGGAGCGTCAGACATCCCCCGCTAATTACCGTCGCCCGCGCTCCCACAAGCACTGTTGCTGCTGCTGCTGCGGGGCTTGCGCAGGTGCAAATTACGATAGCGTCGCCGTTTTTAACTTCCCGTTTCAGCATTTTTTCCCATTTTGCTGCACTCTTAACCCCATCCCCCCGGTTCCCCGTGGGGTCGGGTGACTCGCGGTAACCCAGCTCCTGATGACCATGCGCGAGTCGCATTTCTATATAAATAAAATAGATACAAAAATTCATGAACCGAGCCGTTGCCACGGGCGTCGACACAATCCCGTCCAAGATGCGCCGTAAAATTCCCACGGAGGCGGCGGCGGCGGTAGCCGCAGGAACGTGGCAACAGAGTTCGTAACAGCGGGCCGCTCGTCCGACTCGTGTTGACAGGCTTGATTAAGGGTCATTAATTAGGTGATAATTGGCCACCCCTCCCACGTAGTGCCATTTAAGATGCAGGTTTTTCGCACCCGAGCGTGCGGCTCTGCATCAACGTGACGCTTTTACGGAAAAAAACAAACAAACGAGTTTTTATTCATTATTTTGTGAATGTGTATTTATAGTTTTGGGCTCGGTGTTAAGGGGCACAGATTGAGTTGCATCCCTGCGATCACTCGCTCGCACCACTCAACTGGAGAGCCGACTCTTCCATGGTGGTCAGACACCACACGTGACCTTCACGTTTCAACTCCCCCGGTGGTGTACCCATTTGCGTTATGGACAGAGATTGGGGAAGAGTTGTCGGGGCAGGGAGGGGGGTGGTGAAACCCCAACGGTTTCAACTGGCCCGCCGGGAGATCAGACCGAACCGACGACCTCTGGATTGCTATTGCTGTGGCGGCTCGCCATTCCACCGCGGCAGAGCGTGGACTCGGTTCCATTTGCGTACGGTCACTCGGACACAGCCCGTTTTTTTTACGAACGCGGCAGTGGTAAATCACGAAAGGCGAGGGGCCTAGCGGCGACGGGATTTCTCGGCCATCGCACCTTTGATTAGGGGCGCCAGGGTAGTGAGATGTTAACTTCCTCGCCTGGTATGCAGGAGGTCGTGGGTTCCATCCCGACCCTGACGCCTGTATTTTTGGAGTTTGCGTGTTCTCCCCGTGGTCGCGTGCATTTTTCTCCGGATCCTCCGTTTTCTTTTCCTCTCCACGTTTAGAATCAACGTGCAATTTGGAGTATTTGGCTGCTATAAATTTCCACGTGATAAGTCACCTCATCGGGCTATCATTTGTGATAGCCAGGTTGCTTCTGAAAAAGAGTTACATAGCTAAGTGGGCCTTACCTGGTAGAATAAAGATAGATATTAAGCACGGTTGGCTATGTACAGTGCGAAAGAAGTTCAACGTACATACATAACGTACCGTTGAAGTGGCGTCGCGCCCGTGTCTAACGAATTCACGAATTTGGTTGGGCGAGTTCCCTCCTATTTTTTTTGTGAATGCGGAGAACGCGACGAAGGAGCCCATCGGTGAGACGACGGGCCCACTCCACTCGTGGTTTAATCTCGCGTGGGGGTTGGCCAAGGCCGCGTTGTCACTGAGAGGTGCCGACGACCTCCTGGAGCAACGAAAGCTCTCAACGGCGAAAACCGACAAATCCTGAGCACGACGTTGATTATCTCGTCTGCCGAGGATATTGTGTCACCGATTTGAAAAGTTGTCGCATCGGTGATTGTACACGGTTTCGATTAGGCGACATTTATTTCTCCCTTCGCCGAAGAAGGCAAGGCCGAGTCGACATTTTCAAGGTTGCTTTTTCTTACGTTTCTGCGGGTAAAAAAAAAAAATCCAGCTTCTGTTATCACGTGATGAGTCCGTGAGAATGTTATTCTAGTCGACAAAGAGCAATGACGGTGAAAGTACAATGCGTGATTCAAGTGCCGAAATAAAATGTCTTGATCTGTAATGGAAAGCCCTGTCACACTCGCTTTGGCCGTGCTGCGCAAGCAGTGTTAGCAACGACACGAAACCGATTGTCAATTACGCTCCCCTCAAGAGGAACAAAATATATAATGGGTCATATTTTGGGCAATTTACCTTCTCGGTAAAGAAAGTTATTTTGTTATTACCTGCTATGAAGAAGGATCATTGACCGACGTCTTGTCTATCGTGTGTAAATCTTTCCTCTTCACGGCTGTGGTTTTGACGGACGTGTTGAGGTTTTTTGGACTGTAATGGCACCGTGGGGGCACCGTGGGGGCAGGCATTCTCGTTGCTCGTGCTTTCCGGGCATTTCGGCTGCGGTGGGTTAAGCCATCCCACACGCGACTTGTTACGTCTGTACAGCATACTTCACCACCATCGCCTTTATTACCAATTCACTTTTTTTTATTTTAACAACCGAACAAAACACACAGCCTTACTGGCACTCGCTTAAGATTCCTTCACGGGGCCCCCGTCTCGCCATCAGCCACGGGGGAACGTCGTCACGGATTTCGACCGTCGCAGGAACGTCAATCCCGTGCCCTGAACGGACAAACGGTGACGGACGGCAACGCGAGGCGCTCCTCGGAAAAAAAAAAACATCACGGCCGCGTTTTTTGGGCCCGCAAAAGGAGTTAATTCTACAACAAACACGGTCCCCCCCCCCCCCACGTGCTGGGAATAGCTCCGGCTTTGAAGGCGGCCGACCGGCAGGGTGCTCCGCTCGGGAATTTTCATCGGAATCTAAACATTTCCCGTCGGCGCGAGACGACGTGCAGCCGAGAGGGGCCTTTGATGTCCCCCCCCCCCACTCCCCCCCCCCAACGTCGTCTTTGACCGCCGACAAGACAAGTCGTCTTCTCTTTTTGCTTTTCGCGCGCTCCGCTAGCCGTTGTGTGCCGTTAATCTGCGCGAAGGCGGGCCCGTCTAAAGCGGGGCCCGTTTCTGACATTTCGCCGCGCTCATTCCAAATCCCCGGCCGGCTTATTTCGGAACGCGGAAGGATCGGCTCGATTTTGGCGCATATCTCTTTAAGGCCGGGCCCTCAGACCGAGCGGTCGGCCTTGAAGCGCCGCGCTGACTCCACGTGCGGACGTCACCGTCGGGATTAGCGTCCTCGTTTAATTCCCGTGTTCCAGGATCTTGCGGGCAGTTTTTGGTGCGGGCGCGTAACTTCGGGCCACGTCGAGCAGGCCAGCATCCCATCCCACATCGCACACCGTACTTGTCCAAAACACCCAGCATTGAGTAAATACAACGTTTACCTCCCCACGATCCGCGCGCATGAGTGTGTGCGTTTGGGGAGCGGGTGTGTAGCGGTACTTGTGGTCCGCTATGAATGCGGCGACTAGAGTTCAATTCCCGCTCATGGCCAACACCAGTGACGATTATCTGAACTGGTCCTGGGCTTCCCCCTAGGTCAACTCAGCCTCAAATGAGTACCTGGTGCGGTGTTTAAACATTGCCACTAGGGAGACAAAGGCGGCCGGGCGTGGTGCTGGCCACCCACCCCCTCGTGTGCCGTGCCGGCCTTCACAGGTGCTCGCTAACGGCACTTGCCCCAACAGTTTGTTAAGGCTATACGGGGGATCTTTGTCTTTGTCCGTGTGCCGTGCCGGCCCTTAACAGTTCTTTCTTAACGATCAGCGATAGAAAAAAAATAGAAAAAGATTAGCATTTGTAACGTGCACAGTTTTCGTTCACTCTCGGTGGGAGACATTTATTCGGAGGCGCTGGAAACCACGGACAAAAGCGCCGACAATTGCTTAAGCTCTGCGGTCCTATCTTGGGATGTGCATCGCCTGGGTCGCCCTACGCTTGCAAACCTGGCGATGGCGACCTCGACGCCTGCGGGATCGGGAGTTTTCGCGCGTGAGTGCGTTCCACCGATCCCTCACCGTCTCCACGGCGCTGGACCAGCGGACGAGCGAAGCAGCGCCGCCGCCGGTTGCTCGGCCCTGCTAACAAGCCGTGGTCGCCCGTGGTGGGGGGGGTTGTTGTCCCTGCTGCGCGTGTGTGCGTGCGTGGATGGGCACGCAGGCGGAGTGCGATCTCTCGGAGAGCGACGACCGCAAGATGAAGAGCAAGCGCGGAGTGCTGCCCAAGCACGCCACGGGCATCATGCGCTCCTGGCTCTTCCAGCACATTGTGGTGAGGCAACCCCCCTACCCTCTATCCTCCGCCGCCGGCTCCGGCGGGGACTCGCTCGCGTATTCGGGCCGCACCTTACGTACACGCGGTTTTTTTTTTTCTCCCCCGCCTGCCGCATCCGAGGCAGCGCGGGGGGGCCGGCGCACCACGGCCGGTTGTTTTCCCCGCCACCGGCTATTTGCCCGAGCCGAGCCGGATCGGAGCCGTGCGACGGTGGACTCAAACGCATCTGAATCTGGCCCAAGCTAGGCTAGGGGCGTGGCGGCGGGGGGTGTTGCAATGTGCGTGCAGTGCCGTGTAACGTCATCCATAATGCAGGTGTTTTCTGGGTTAGGTCGCGTAAATATAAATGCGTAGTCAAACCCGCCACCACCCGACACAGCCAATTGGTTAAAGGTTTGTCACGTAAAGAGAACGTGGCCAATTCGTCACTAGTACAGCAACAGCGGCGTGTTGGAGAGCCAAGCCACATTTCGCCAGTAATTACAACCAGCTTCGTCAGGCGGACAGCCGCGTTGATGTCAGTCGGTGCAACTCGTGCGGGCAGCGTGGACGGCGTCGCCTCCACGCGCCCGCGAGTCGTACACCACTTGGGTGGCACGGGGGGGGGGGGGGGGGGGCGGCTTGTGCGGTGGAATAGCAAACCCCGGGCTTCGTGACCCCGCCATGCCACGCCGGCAGTCTGCGTGCGTCCGTTCCCGTCCCGCTCTTTGTGAGAGGCTCCGAGGGGCCGGTGACCCACGGCTCGAGAAGCGATGGCGTAGAGGGAAGGGCGGCGGGTAGCCACGGTGTGAGGTCAAGCCGTCGGGAATGCCGACGCAGGTGAAGGAGGGAGAGAGTTGGGGGGGGCGGTGTGGGGGGGGGGCATGAATGTGCGAGATGTTTAACTACCTCGCCTGGTTTGCATGACGCCGTGGGTTCGATCCCAACCCTTGATGCCAGCTGTATATTTGGAGTTTGCATGTTCTCTCTCTCCCTGTGGTCATGTGGATTTTTCTCTGGCTCCTCCGGTTTTTCCCTCCATCTGGAAGAATCAACGTCACGCATTTAGAGTATTTGGCTGCTATACATTTCTACATGATGTATGCACGTGGCACTCCTTTCGCACCGTACGTAGCCAATCGTGTTAATCGGAGGTGCGGATAAGTTTTTGGCTGGGCTATCATTTGTGGCCAGGACGCTTCTGAAAAAGAGCTATACAGCTCTGTGTGCCTTCACTTGGTAAAATAAAAAAAAGTATTCAGTTTGAAATATTGCTGAGTTTAGAAAGGAAATCCAGAAAAGCATGTGCTGTGCTTGTGTTCTTCGAGACGTAGATGATGCATCACCTCTTTCCCGAGTGATCCGTGCCCGTTGAACAGAGGGATATTTTGGCTCTCCGTTGCCTGTGAAGTTTCATTTTGTTTGCTTCATCCGGCCGCCTTCATTTTTAAGTTGTTACTGTTTTTGTTTTTGAGGGCGGAGAGAGATGAAAGTGAGCAAGGATCCTTACATTATTCTTTTGTTGGTGGGTTTTTTTTTCTTTTTACAAACAAAAAATAAATTGAGATGTTGCATTTTTTTACGTGATCTGCATTCATTCAAAGTGATGGCCTTGCTGCCTTTTGAAACATTTCCCTGTTTTTTCGGACGAAATGATACAAAAACAAAACTGCGTCACAAGCACGCACAATAAATCCTCAATGGGCAACGTTTCATGCAATGGCCCTTATTCATCGCACAGACTTAAAGAAGGAGCTCTCCACAAAAATTATGTTTTTTTTCCCCCCTTTAGGGCGGTGTCTTGACGATTGTGCTTCGTATTTGCCATTTGTTTTTTTCTGACACATCTGTCAACTTAAAGGAGAGGGTCTCTGCTAGGTCACGTGCACGTGACTAAAACAAAAATAATCACGTGCACAGTCACACGCTGGCTGACTTGAAACGGAGGCGCCGGGTGGTGTTTTAAGAACGAAAACGCACATTCGTTCGTCATACATTGTTCGTGTCGGATCGCGCAAAATGCAACGTGTGTCATACACCCTCCTCCACCCAACATGTGCCAATGAATCAACGCCGTCGCGTGAACTGACGCGCCAGTTTGCGTTGCTTCAGCACGGCGGAACTGCCAGAGACCGAACCCAAAACGACGTTTCGGCGGTAGCTGCAACCAGCGTTGTCGCGCGTTTGCTGAAAGCGATAAAAAAAAAATTTGGCACGTCTGCTTCTCTTATTCGGCCATGTTTGGTTGAGGAAGGTTGTACGACAACACATTGCCCCCCGGTGTTTTGTGTGTGTGTGTCGTCGTCGTCGTCGTCGAGCACGCAAGTAAAAATAAAAAAAAGCTCTTGAACAGTGAACATTAAGACGATGCGTGTGAGCGCGCAATGTTGATCGAGTGACCGCGATGACGGCCGTGTCAAGATCGACGGCGCGAGGTGGCGTGGGAGTTTACGGCGCGGCGGTTTCGCAAATTACGCCGTCGCCGGCAAAATGACGAGGGTGCAATTAAGACATTTGTTATTTCATTTACCAGCTCAGTAGACATCGCAAAGCATAATGTGTGTTTGTAACAGCTGAGAAAGCGTGCCGTGCCGGGCCGTGCATGGTTTGTGATTTTAATTAACTCTAATGTGTTGTTTGTGGCATTGTGCGTTTGCCAAGTGCTCTGTCTCTCTCCCCCCCCCCATCACATCTCACCCCACCCCATCCCCCACTCCCTCCTACTCCCCCTCCTCCTCCTCCTCTTCCCTCTTCTCCGAATCTTTTGCCTGGCTTCCCCCGGAGAGAACAGAACATTTACATATATAATGAAGCGCCTGGTTTTGGCTACAGCACAGTGGCGTGCCGATTCTTTCAGATAAATCGTTAATAAAATGCGTGTTTTGAACAGAGCGGCATTGCGCGGGGGGGGGGGGGTGGCTGTGGTTGTTAACTTGCGCTGTAATCACAACGAATCGCCGCGCATTGCCGGTGCGGTTGCTGTGACTCCTCCGCCGCCGCCGTCGCGTTTGCAAGACGGCGGCGTGCAAAATACGTTCACGCCACGGCGGCTGGCCTTGGCTTTTTTTGCGCATTGTCATGATTCCGTTAGCCGTAGCATCGTCGAGCGAAGAAACACCCCGACGAGCCTCGTATCGCAAACGCTGTCTGCAGGCGATTTGCTTGGACGAAACTTTTCCGTGCGAGGAGCAAGTGCCGTTTGCACGAAACAAATGCCCCTGTCGTACGTGTTAACGATCATAATAATAATAATTTACACTTCTAAAGCGCCTTTCATCCGGAGGGTCACAAGGCGGCTGTATGCAGCGAAAAACAAAAAAGCGTGCGGGCTCGCACCAACTAAAACCAACCCTCAAAAACGAAATAATTCAACGTAAATGGAAATAGCGCTTAAAATTAAGTGCGTCTGCGAAGGCGGGATGGGAATAAATCGAGGGAGTTAGCGGAGGGAATGTCCAGAAAGGTATTTTGTGTACCGTAGTTGCCATTCATCACAGTGTCCACATGAATGTGTTCCCTGTTCCGTGAAGTGACAGCGAAGTTTGGATAGAAATTGTTACCATTTCCTAATAGGCGAATTATTTTGGAGGAAATGTGTCTCAATTAATCCGAGGTTAATGGTTCAAGCATTTTATACGATAAGATAAAGGGAAGAACAACAAAAAACTAACGAATGAATGGCATCATATTGGCACACTTTCCCCGCTTGTCAGATTTGGGGCGTAAAAAGAAAGCACGTTTTTATTTTAATCATGGGAAGAAAATGTACTTTACTTAGAACAATTGTCCATTCAACATAGGAAAGAAAAACCCCATTCATTTGCGCTTTAAAATATTATGGGAAATGTACAATTACTCAATGTGTTCTGAGCCAGCAGCTGGATTTACAACTTAGACATGGATGTGTATTTTTTTTACCAGTGTAAGGGTCACTCAGCTATAGAGCTTTTTTCAGAAGCGACGTGGCCACAAATGGTGTCTCAACGAAGTGGCTTATCACGTGGAAATTGATCTCGGCCAAATACTCGATGAACACACGTTGATTCTAAATCTGGTAACCCGAGGACCCTGGAGCAAAATCCACGGGGAGAGAGAGAGAGAGAGACACGCAAACTCCGAATATACAGCAGACGCCAGGGTCGGGATTGAAGCCACGACCTCATCCATACTAGGCGAGGTATTTAACATCTCGCCACATTGATGATGATGAGAGAGAGACATGCAAACTCCAAATATACAGCAGGCGTCCGGGTCGGTATCGAAGCCACGACCTCTTGTATACCATGCGAGCTAGTTAACATCTCCGAGCCACCGCGGCGTCCTATATATATTTATAGTTGCTAATCAATTCGTCTTGTCGTGGTTGCAATGGGCACCACGCCAGACTTGCAATGCAGAGGTTGCCGGTACGATTCGTCCGCCCACGCGGTACCAAATCTGTTCGCTCCACGGTCGGTCGACCGGCACGCGACGGGGGTAAAGTGTGGGTACCCCCACCTCGTCACTGATGGCCGGGCCAGCTTGCAAGCGAGAGTGCCGACCCACTGAAACATAGAAAACCACATGCCAACGTTGATCCAACGTTGCGTGCTTGCGGGGAAAATGCCTCCTTCCTCCCCCGTCCTCCCACCTCGATCAGCGTTGACACGTTTCTCGAATTTGAGTACGGCTTTTATTATTGTTGTTATAAGAGCTTTGGAGAGGAGACGGTGGGAGAGGACATTCCAAAGTGGAACAGATATGGGGTGGGGATTGGGGGGGCTTATTGATTGCTTATTTGTGTTGTAAACCATGCCGTATTGAGAGAGAGAGAGGCATCAGCTGCAGCAGGAGTAGCAGGAGGAGATGGGGCTCGTGTTTGCCGTCTCCCCCGGGGTAGCACTGCCCTCTGCTGGTTTGCCACTCGAGTCGCGGAATCGCGACCCCCAGGGCTTGGCATTGGCGGGCAGTGGCCACGCGGCGGCGCCCCTCCGTGTGCCGTATTCCTTGCGACGAGAACGACATTTTTGGCACGCGTGTACTTGCACAATGTTGAACTTCTTTCGCACCGTACGTAGCCAAACCGTGCTTAATCGGACGTTAGGGAGATTGGGGGGGAGGGTGAAGGACTCACAAATTAAACCCAAAACGCAGTTTAAAGAAATGGCTTTGTCAATCTGGATTATTTAAAAGTACGTAGCTCCAGTGGCTTCCTAATGTATTTGTGTTGCATGTACGTTCACCTCTTTCGCACCGTAAGGTAGCCAAACCGTGCTTGATCGGAGGTGCGGCACTGCCGGATTATCCTAGTAGCAAAAGTAGCTACACATGCTACGGGCCCAGTACTTTCAAGGGCCCCCGCACTAAATGCTTTCAAGCTGTCAATTCCGGTGCAATGATTCTGCACATGCTCTTACTATACCGCCTTCAACTTTTATGAACGACTGGGTGTTTAAGGTTAGCGATTTGTCGTATTATTTGGCTGTGTAGTAAATGAAAAAATACAATTACTTTACTATGCAAGTAAAACATTTGTGTTAAATTTTTTATATATATGGCCCCTTTATAACATATCCTACAGGCCCCGCACTAGCTTAATCGGGCACTGAGGTGCGGAGGTGAAGGACAACAAACTAAACACAAAAAGCAGTTCTAAAGCAATTAGTTTGTCGATCTGGATGATGTAAAAGTGCAAAGCTCCAATGGCTTCCTAATATCGGAAGGAAGAGCGTTCCAGACGGCCGCAGAAGCGTATCTGCAAGCGTGCGATGCAGTGAGACCATCTTTGTTGCATTGCTGTGACCGCGTTAAAATGTTTTGCGTTTATTTTTTTTTAAACCGAAGTTTAATTTGATTTAAAACTTAATAATTTCAACTTGTATCCACTGTGTTCATATATGCCCATAAGCAAACATAAGTGGAACTTTACCATGCATATTCACCTATATAAAAAAAATCATAGTAGAGACCATCAGCCTATCTTTTGGCTTTTCTGATCAATGTTATCGAACAGAAATTGTTCAAGCGAGCACTTCAACTTGAACGGTGCATTTTATATATCTGTCCGGTATGCGTCTGCTTGTGTATTAGTGGGAGCGGTGGTGTAGCGGTTAGCGCTACGCTGCGCTACGAACCTGGCGACCCGGATTCGATTCCCACTCACGGCCAACATCAGTGATGATTATCTGAACATGTCCTGGGCCTCCCCTAGGTCGACTCAGCCTCAAATAAGTACCTGGTGCGATGTGTAAACATCGCCACCAGGGAGACAAAGGCGGCCGGGCGTGGTGTTGGCCACCCCACCCCCTCGTGTGCCATGCCGGCCTTTATAGGTGCTGCTCGGTAACAGCACTTGCCCCTACAGTCTGTTAAGGCTATGCGGGGGATCTTTTCTTTGTCTTTATGTGTGTGCGAGCTGTCAGCAACGGGAGTGAAGTGGTTAGTGAACTGCGCTGCGAACCCGGCGACACCAAGTTCGATTCCCGCTCGTGACCAATAATAGTGTTGAATATTTAAACCGGTCCTGGGCCTCCCCTAGGTCGACTCCGCCTTAAATGAGTACCTGGTGCAGTTGTGTAAACATCGCTACTGGGCAGACGAAGGCAGCCGGGTGTGGTGTTGGCCACCCATTCGCTCGTACGTCGTGCCGGCCTTCGAAGGTGTTTGCTAACAGCACTTGCCCCAAAAGCCTTTGTAACCTATGTGGGGGATATTTGTCTTTGCCGTTTTCTCAGCACCCATACCCCACAGAGGACGAGAAGAGGCAGATTGCCGCCCAGACGAATCTCACCCTCCTCCAGGTCAACAACTGGTGAATTCCACAATCGCAACACACAACATCGGGTCGTCGTCATTGACCACTACGTGAACCGTCACCCCGACGGCCAGTGGTCGAGACGAACGAGAGAGTTTGACTTCGCCTGTGCCAGGCTAGGTGTACTTTGAGTCCACGTCAAGTTGTTGTAAACCATGCCGCTACGATGGCGAGATGTGAACTACCTCGCCTGGTATACAGCAGGTCGTGGCTTCGATCCCGAACCCTGACCCCTTGCTGTATATTTAGAGGTTGCGGTGTCTCTCTCCCTGTGGTCACGTGGATTTTTCTCCGGATCCTCCAGTTTTTCGCTCCGCATTGAGAATCAACGTGCGTTTTTAATATTTGGCTGCTATAAGTTTCAACACGATAAGCCACTTAGTTGAGCTGTCATTTGTGGCCACGTCGCTTCTGAAAAAGAGCTGCATAGCTCAGTCGGCCTTACCTGGTACAATGAAAATAGTTTAAATATTTAAACTATAGTTAACTAAGTGTGGAAGGTTTGCTGGCAGAAGGTCTGCTCATTGTGGCAGGTGGCTGCCTCCAGCGGCCCAGCAGGATCCTCCACAAATCGCGCGTTACCCCCTCTTGCAACGCATACGCCCCACACACATTTGATCCTTCAATCAGCCGAAAGACTGCGCTCCAGAACGTATTCATTTGGTGATAATCAAGCGTGAGGGTGCGCATTGCATCTGTGGTCGTCCGCCGTGGTAAAGCCACTGCTGGATGGAGGCCTTTGAAAGCCGAGGTCCTGGGCACGAGCTGATCCGACCGCTCCATCGTCCGCCCCCACGGGCGCGTCTTCCATCGTGTGGCCACCACCCCGTCGTCCGTCCCGACCACCGGCCATTACTCCCCCCCCCCGTCCCCCCACAGCAACGCGTTCTGCCTGAGCCCCCCCCCCCCCCCCCCCCCCCACTGTGTATCTCCAACTTTGCTCTCCCCCTCCACCCGCCGTCATTCTACGTGGACGCGCGACGCCCCGACCTGAACCCCCAACCTCCCGTCGGCGGCAGGTTCATCAACGCTCGCCGGCGGATCCTGCAGCCGATGCTCGATGCTGGCAACACAAGCGGTGGCAATCCGGCTGGGAATTCCGTCGGGAATGCCACCGGAAATCCGGAGGGAGGTCCCGCCGGGTGCGGGAGAGGGAGGAGAGGCAAAGCGGCACCCAGAGCCCTGCTCAGGTGGGTGGTTGATTAACCCTTTCCCGTTCCGGGACGTCCGCCGAATCTCGGATCGTGCAAGCGGTTAGCGTTTATTTTATTATGATAGGCATAGCACCGTTATTTTTTCAAAACATTGTACTCACCGCAGAAAACTGTAGTGACACAACCGCAGCCTTTGTTGGCTGGGGCCAAACTGTGCCACACGCCCCTCCCGCATGGCCTTGTGGGAGCCTCGGTACCAATAAAATTATTTTACTTCAGTTTTTCTTCTGTAATCGGAAGAAAAGTTCCCCCCCCCCCCCGATTCCTAATCAGAAGAAAAACCGATATAATGTACGCGTACATCATCGGATCGGGAAAGGGTCAATATACCCATTCATGGGATTCATGAATAGCCACACCCTGCCACGCGTTATCGACTACCACGGCGCCCTCCACCCATTGCGGCCGTGTGAAGAAGGGGAAGGCTACCGTGTGCATAGCGACTCATTCTTGTGCTGAATTCTTCGAATGATGAGAAGCTCCGGAAAGTAAGACCTCGCCCCAAGACATCTGGGTCGATTTAATAATAAGTGTCCTTCCAAGGCAAGTGCTGTTAGTGAGCACCTATGAAGGTCGGCACGGGACACGAGGGAGTGGGTGGCCAGCACCATGCCCGGCAACCTTTGTCTCCACAGTGGCGATGTTTACACACTGGACCAGGTACTGTCCTCATTTGAGGCTGAGTTGACCTAGGGGAGGCCCAAGGCAGGTTCAGATAATCGTCACTGGTGTTGGCAGTGAGCAGCAATCGAACTTGGGTCACCAGGTTCGTAGCGCAGTGCACTAACCGCTGTACTACCGCTCCGCCAAACATATCTCGCACACACTCGTATATACGTGACAAAAAAAATCACTTATTTACGTGAACGATTTCTGGAAGGACTAGTTTTTTTATTCATGTATATGGTACCGTTCAGTATTGTTCTGAGTGATGTCCTCTGCACGTTCATCATTTGCGGGACACGGCAGACTCTCTCGCTCGGTTTGCTTGAGGTATATATTTTTCCTTGAAAAATAATTGGTTAAATTACTAAACTAGAATATACGCGTACTGCGAAATGCACTGGTCGCAGGAAGGATTTCATCCGCGCTTACGAGCTCCAGAGAAAAAAGTGTTTTTTATCGCGTGCGCTTCATGCGACCGTGATTCCCGTGGATTTTTTTCACCATTGGGTTTCGGACTGGTCGGCAAAGTCGGCCGTACGTCTTCGCGGAAGAACGGCGTTCGCTTTGAAATGCGGTGCATGGCGCCCGTTGCCGGCCCGAGGGGGGGGTGGGGGGAATGGGGGTGGTGAGGTTTTAAAACGGAGAATTCCGCAAAACCCCGAGGCCGATCAAATAATTTGCACACCCACCCTGGGAGAATAACTGTCAAGAGCAATTAGAAACTATATTTTTCTCAAAACTAGCAAACCCGTACATCCCAGCCAGCCGGCAAAACTTTTTTGGTTTAATTTGTTTAAAGAGCCCTGTATCTTTCCACCTTTAAATTGCCTTCTGTGTGCTATTAATCGCAATTTATCGCTATTTCTCACTTTGTCTCTGTTCCTATCCGTTTCTTAATTCCTCTGACCCATCACGTCCCTCCAATGCTTTTGACCCTCTTCCCTCTCCCCACCCCTCTCCCCGTATCTCTCACCTTTCGCCCTCGCTTTCCTTATTCTCTCATCTCGCCCTTTCCCGTCAATCTCTCTTGGTTGTCGCTTTCCCTCGCTCTCTGTCTCTCTCTTTCCGTTTTGCTCTCTCTTTCCTCTCCGTGCCATGCCCTTTCACTCTCTCTCCCCCACCCCTCTACTCTCCATCTCTTGCTCCCTCCTCTATCTCCCACCCTCACCTCCCTCTAATATTTGTTCTAATATAGTGTGGTAAAATAGTGAGGGTATGATGATATAATAGCACGGTAGGGTATCGAGTAATCCTAAAAGAATATGAGTGTACAAAATAAGCTCAAATTCCAATCCTAATAAACACACACACTAATTTATGTATCTCTCATCCCTGTCTTGTCTGTACAGTATCCCTCTCATCTAACTTCTTCTCTCCCTTGTCCGCATCTCATCTTACCGCATCTGTCTCATTTGTATCTGCCTTCCCATCTCACTACATTTCTATCCCTCGTCTGTATCTCTTCTGTCATCTCACAGGGAGTATATACATCGAGAGAGGTGGGGGGGGGGGGTGGGCGGGCGGGAAGTCGGGGTCCCTCCAAAAGTAATTTATCGGAGGGGAGGGGGGGGGCATCTTTGGGGGGCCCACACCACCACCGGCTGCCGACGTGACGCTGCGACACTGCCTCTTCACGTCGGTCTCTTCCCCCCGCCAGGTTCTGGCCGGAGCAACTGGCGTCGACGGGAGCGACGGGAGAAGCGGAGGCCAGGAGACTCCTTCAGCGGTCGGGATCGAACGCTGACGGTACCGACGGGGACGCGGGGCGTAGGGGGTGTGGGTGGCTGGGGGCGGGGGGGCGGGGGGGGTTAACTACCACCCAGCAGGTCCCCACGTCCGTTCCCGTGCGCTGGGGACCGATACAGCCTCCGGGGGGGCTCCCTCTGCGTTCCGCGATTTCAACGTTTCGCTCTCAGCTCCTGCAACTCGAATCTTTCGAAGTCCAATGTGAACGCACGTTTGTTTGCATTGGTTTATCCTTGAGTGGGAATGGGTTGGCAGGTGTCTTTGCATGATTGTATTATTGTACAGACAAAAGTGTGTATTTATTTTGCGGACAAGTTATTATTTTAATTTAATTTAAACAGCCCTGGGGTGTGCCGTACCATGAGGCGTGCGACGTAAACCCAATTTCTTTACAATGGTGACGGAGTGGCAGCCAAGGAACTGGCCGCGTGCACCGGGGAGATGGAGCAATGACATCACTTCGTGCGCCATTGCCCCGGTTAGATTGTTACAACGCAGAATTGTGGGGATGCAACGGTGGCTTCGGGAGGCCTTCATCCAGCTGTGGATCGAGCATGGCTGATGACGAATCCCGATTCCCTTCCCCATCGTGCTTGGTTGCCTCCCTGGGGTTGCAGCAGAACTATATAATTTACTCTTATATAGTGATAATAAATAATATAGATTTTAATCACTGGTGTGTGCAATCTGTTGCAAAAAAAAAAAAAGACTTGCGGTCTCGCACGAGTTCTCGGTTACAAAAATGTTTCAATCTATCGATTGAAATTTCAACGATAATGACCATGCAAATTGATACTCCTGTACATTTACAGGTTTACTCTTAAACGTAAATATGAATCTTGGAGAGAAGCTGCGTTAGATATAATCAATTCTCCACGAATAATTTCATTCCTAAGAGCGTGCCGATGCAACACGTGGACGCCATGCGTTGTTTTTTCCCCCCCCCCCCCGTGTCGGTGCTTTGCGTGATGAGCGTTTCTTCTCTCGAGCTGTCGCCACGCACAACTGCGGGCATCTCCCGGGGTTCACAGTCAGAACCAGAAAGAGTATTTGTGCCTGGTAAGTTGGGAGTGATTTTGCTTACCCCCTTCCCTATGCTTTGCCGCACACTCCGGCCCCCCCCCGCTGGGCGCGTCCGGCCCAGGTGGCGACGGGCACGCCACGGAGGGCGACCCGAGCGAGCCCCCCTTCCCACGCCCGGGTTCCAGCGTCGGCTACGGCGCCGAAGACTCCCAGGACGGCACCGACGACGACGACGACGAGGAGGAGGAGGGCAGCAGCGGCACCGCTCACGACCTCACGCTCGCCGGCTGTCCGTCCCCCGATTAGCGCCCTCTGCCTGTGCCCTCCACCACCCAACTCCTCCCACTCCCCCCATTGCTGCAACGAGTCAAGTTAGTACTCACGGAAGTGGCGGCGGCGGGGGGGGGGGGGGGGGGGGGCCCGGGCCCTTATTTCCACTTTTGTTTATTTAAATTTGAGCTTAAAAAAATGGGGGGTGGGGGGGGGGCTCCCTAATTAGCCCCAGCAAGTGTGACGCCGCTCTGATGTCATCACGGCCGGATGTTACTCGGCAGTAGTCACGGCGATGGCCAGTGTCATTTTGAAGTATGTATATTGCAAGAGAGAAAAGTGTGTAAAATGAACCGTTTGAAGCTTCTTTTGTTTGAGGGTTCATGACCCCCAGCGTTTAGCATCTTTGACACATTTATGAGGTACCAAGCACGCTACAGTGGTCATTGAAGAATTGACCATTGATTTGTACATAATGGACTCCTCCATCAATCACATGCAAGCTTTTTGTGCTTTATAAATATGTTGCTTTGTAAACATGTTCTGTAACGAAATGCAGGATAATGTGCATGATTTATATATTTTTTATGACGAGTCTGATTGGCTCAGGTATGTCACGTGGTCACAAAAGGGTGCCGCCTGATTGGCCGTGCGTATGATCCTGAACTTGTGACCTTTGCCCATGTTTTGGGAGTTGTGCAGTGGGTTCGAACTTAGCCCTTGAGCCATTGGCCCAAATTTGGCTTTTCAGTAACACTCAGGGTGGCAAATGCTGACTTTGATTTTCGTGAAGAGTTGTATCTCTAGATTACAAATGCATCTAATAGCAAGGTCACCATGGTAGCTGTTTATGATAAAAAAAAAAGGTCATTAAGGAGAGGTATCCTAGTATGTTTGACAGAGAACATTGTTTTGGAGAATATTTGTTTTAATATATATAAAACATCTATGGAATATTAACACGAAGCATGTGCATATAAAACAAACGGTATATCAGTGTTCTTCACTCATTTTCGGGGGGGGGGGGGCCCTTTCGCTGATGAGACATCATCAGTGCGAGTTTGCCGCCACACCATTTGAAACCATTTGGGGGTTTTGACAGCAGCACGATGATGATGGGGTGTGTTTACACATTTGTCTGTTGTCGGGAGGCCGCACGTCAGGGGCCGCACTAAAGGCCACTAGGGGCCGCCAGTGGCCCGCGGGCCTTGCAATGAAGAATACTTACATATGCTCAGCTGGATACCAGTAGTACTTGTCACCTCAGGTGGTACCGACCAACCTTCTTGGCTCATGGGCAAACGGAATTGGTTGTCCAAGTGCGGTGATCCGGGTCAGGCTGCGAGTTGAACATTTCCTCTCTGGAGCTTTCGCGACACACCACTGCGGGCACCTTTCAGGTCAACTTGAAGGTAACATCTCGCAGCGGTGGCTAGATGTTAACGCCCTCGCCGAGTATGCAGGAGGTCGTGGGTTTAAATCCCGACCCCGACGACTGTATATTTGTAGTTTGCATGTTCTCCCTGTGGTCGCGTGGATTTTTCTCCAGGTCCTCCGGTTTTTCCCTCCACATTTAGAATCGACACGCTGCTATAATTGAAGCAATTGGTGGGACCCCAGGGTCCCATCACTACCCCGGGGTGGGAAAAACCGCGTAGCGACGCGAGTCTTGTTGCTTTACCGACAACAAAACTCTAGTGTCAATCGATTGGCCTCGTCGAGAGCTACTCGGGGCACTAAGTTTCGTAAAAAGTTGAAAAATTACACAAACACGTTAAATTCACTGCGGGGGCCGGCCCGCCTTGTCAAAGAAGCCGAGGATCGACGGCTGACCGGAGGGCGTCGTCGCCCCCCGGGGCTCGCGTTTGGCCGGTGGGGTGGCGCCCATCGTGGTGATCGCTGCCTGCTGCTGCTGGCGCTTGTTGTTGGCGCGAGACTGGGCGGGCGGCGCGTTGCTGTCGTCGTCCAACTCGGCGACGAGATTGGGCGGGATGGCTGGATAGTAGTCGAGGTTAATCGGCGGGGATCGAAAAGTACTTCTTGGCGAGCGACTTGAGCTTCTTCGTCGTGATGGTGCCAACAGGCGCCGTCATTGCTGAACGGGGGCCGCTCGCAAGAATGAACAGCAGCCCTGGCGGGGTCCGTCCGGTGTCCTTGCGGGATCACGAGTGGGCTGACTGAAAAACAATAATAATTATTGACCTGAGTTTTGCGGGACCCCGGGGTCCCGCCAAATGATTCAAATGTCCACGTGAATGGCTACTTCGTTGAGGTATTATTTATGGCCCGGTCGCTTCTGAAAAAAAGCTACATAGCTCAGTGGGCCTTAGCTGGTAAAAAAAAGAAGAAGTTTAGTTTAACTCGTGGAGATACCCACAATAGCGCGTGGCGAAGGCTCGAGAGAAGAAATGGTCGGCGTACTTGCAGCCTGACCTGGAAAACCACACTCGGATTGTGGGGGGAAGGCCACAATTTAACGGCCTCTCTCCGATGCGTTTCCCGGTTTCTTTTCGTGTTGTTTGGCGCGACGACGTCCGGCGTTTTGCCCCACGTCACGGCACCATCTTGGGGAACTTTTTTTTTTTTTAAAGTTCAGGAACCGAAGAAGCTGCTCCCGAAACGTCCGGGACATCCGCGCCGGAGGAAAAACGCGCGGGCCATGACCGGAACGAACGCGAGGAGCGGCTGCGAGGACCTTCGCGTTCAGTGGACCCGTCGGTTTCCGCCGTTCTCCGCCCTGACCGGACGCCTGTCCGCCAGCTCGCGCGAACGCTCCCCGAGAAAGCGCTCGAACTCGCGGCGTTCGTGAACGACGCGGCGGGGGTGGGTGAGATTTAAACTCGCGCGGGGAGTGGAGGAGGGGTCTCACGACTCCTCCGCGCAACTCTCAACTTTTGCTGTACGTAGAGAGAGGAGCGACGCGCGAGCCCCCCCCCCCCCCCCCCCCCCCCTCACACGGGTGAACTGTTGTGAAAGCGCGAGTGGCCACCCCCAGCACTCGGAAGCTTCGAGAGACGCATTTTGACATCCTGTCGGCTGAAGGGATGAAGAGACTATGCATGCTATGGTGGTGGGATGTGCTATGTGACATGCTGTGCTTGTTGGTTCTTTTTTCTACGACGAATTAGACATAGGGGTTTCTTTTTTTTTTATATGTGTGTGTGTATAACTGGTGTAAGATACGTTGGCACAAGATGATGCGGCATTCAGAAGAACCCTTTGGGAGCAACATGGGATCTCTCAGAACTGCGTCCCATCTGTAACTGCGAAGGACGAGGTGGCGACCGCTGAACGTTGTTGACGTGACTAAACGACGCTGACGCCACGCGGACGCTCGTGTGTCACTTGGGAGACCCTACGCGGCGAAGTTGCGGTGTCATTTGGAAACGAGACGTGACTGTGCCCGGTGCGTCAAGGCGCGTCCGACGGAGATTCAGTGGTCCGTAATTCATCACAGAGGTTTTTTTGGGGGCTAGATCGCGTGAATATATAAACGCGTCGTTTAACCCGCCACCACCCGGCACAGCCAACTGGTAAGGGTTGTGTCACGTAAACGGAACGTGGCCAATTCGTCACTAGTACAGCACACACCGGCGTGTTGGGGAGCCAAGCCACAACGTTTACAATCTGAGTACGACGTGTTGCCAGCAGTTACAACCAGCTTCATCAGGCAACAACCAGATTTGCTTCATCAGGCGACGGCCAGATTTCTGTGACCCACTTGTTGTTGTGTTTTTTTTGTCCGCACAAGAAGACGCTTCGTGTGCTGCCCCGCGAGGCTCGCGCGAAGCAGCCGCTTGTCTTTTTTGGTTTAAACAAAAAAAAGGACCCACAATGTGTTTTTTTTCGGTGCCGCCGAGCTCCCCTCGTTTCGCCGTTGCATCCGACAGTTCCTCCGCGTGCCGGGGAGCTTCTCGGCGGGGGGGGGGGGGGGGGGGGGGGGGGAACGTCTTCTTCGCTTCGGTCGCCGAAGAAGCTCCCGGCGCTCGGGGGGGGCGAAACGTCGGACGCCGCAGCCGCCGCCGAAACGACGGGACGGGCGGCACGAGGCGAAAAAAAACCGCGGCGGGCGAGCGATGCAACACAGCGGCGAAGAGGCAGCGTGGCGAAGTACTCGGGTGGAAAATCGAGAGCGTCGAGATCGTGCGCGCCCTTAGTTTTTCTTAAGTTCGCGAATGACAACGTCGCGCTTCTGTGCACGATAATCGGTGTGCAAAGCTTCTCATGCGCTGCCATTACAGACACGTACGTGCATGCAGCTCCTTTGTCAGGCGTCACGGCATCGTGAACGTTTTGGGAATATGTGAACGTGCTTCGTCGCACTGGTCGGCGCGCGGGTTGGTGAAAGGCGGGGGAGCATGTGGAAATGGGAGCATAGAAGTACAGTACAGTTGTGTATTTTGCTGCACACCCCCAATCTGTGCCCCCACCACATGCTACAGTCTCGTACGGTATGTCGACAGCTATTCGTGTTTCAAGACATTGTCTCAGAATCCAACTTTTCCCCGTGGTCAGAAAACGTTTCCTCGTGCTATTACAATCACATTTTGTATGGAGACAAATTGAACAAAACTTTCCAAATGTGCAGCATCTGCCCCCGTGGGCCACCATGAGCTGCCAATGCCGTTATAATTCTCAGTCGTGTAAGCTCAACAGCTTTAATTGGATTAATTTGCCGCTTTTATAATTTACTGTGTGACACGTGGAAACATGAGAGCGTTCTTGTTTTTGTTACACATATATAAGTCGTTAAGTTGGGCTTGCAATGATGTTACGTTGAGTATTTATTTTCTCGCCAATTTTCTAAGTTTGTAGAAAAATGTGTGAATGGTTTTCTTTTTGCGTGTTACGCCTGCCAATGCAGTCTGGTTCGATTTTTCATTTGTTGTCCTTGGAGCTGCCACAACCCCCTCTCCCTCCCTCCCTCCCTCTATGGCCTTCAACACCCTTGTTGATTCCAGGCATTCGCCAAAGCCACCGGGAATGCAGTGGGCCCAGTGCCTCGTCTCTCCAACTACGCGCAGTTGGGCAGCGTTGCTCACCAAATGGAACCAACGCAGCCTGAATCGCCGTAGCGATCTCCGGGCGAAGGGGGGGGGGAGTCGGTGACCAAAATAACAAGAGGAGACAT